TGGGGACCACTGCTCCTCATGGCTGCTCTGCTGCCGGCGGCGTCCCCGTTGCCACGGCGACCACGCCTCGCTGGGAGGGCGGGGTAGGCCCAGCCCAGGTTCTGCGGGCCTGGCCCTGGAGGGCAGTGACTATTGCTTCTGTGAAGGGTCCTCAGCCACCCCGCGTGGGCTAAGGCACACTTGAGGGGTTCCTGGGGTTTGAGCGGCCCCACGGGGCTGTGGGCTGAGGCTGCAAAGCCGATTATGACACAAGCCTCGTCCTCTAGGTGTGTACAGTCCTGCCCCCGCAGGGATGAACACAGAAGCCTGGGAGCACCCGCAAGTGTGAAGCGGAATAGGTTTTGTGGAGAGACGGGGCCGTCAGGGAGAGCTTCCTGGAGGAGGTGACCCTGGGGACAGAGCTGAGATGCCAGAGAGCAGGTGTGGTGCGTGGTGCCTGCAGCGAAGGGGCAGGTACTTTGGTGCCTTCCGTCAGCACAGATGGCAGGAGGCGGGCGGGGACAGGTCTACGGGATCGCTGAGCATCTTTGGAGGAGCCCTCAGGTCCTCATGGACAGAGAAGGGGTCTGACAGGTCCTTCCGGGAAGGAAGCAGGACCTAAGGCTGGGCGTGGGGTAGAGGAGGGACGGAACCACAGTATTATGTAGCTTACAGCTTGTGGAGGTTTCAGCCCATACTCAGCTGGCTCCAAGTTAGGGTAGCACATGGCAAAGGGCAGCGGTTCATGGTGGTGGAAAACAGCAAGAGAAATGGGGATGAGCGGCAGCAGCAGCAGAGCAGAGAGCAAGCCTCTCTCCCTTCCTTGCATTGCATTCAGGCAATCCTTGGGTGTAGCGTTCACACCCACAATCCCAGCAGCACTCACGCCCAGCACCGGATCATGCATTGATCACAAACTCCAGAATTCCAGTCCATGACTACGAGAAGCTTTTGAGGATACCCAGACACGAACCATTACATGGCTAGAGCTGCTATAGGCAAAAGGAGCAGTGCTCTTCACAGGGAACAAATAACACAGAATCTAGAGTGACTAATTCAATAGAAGAGACAGAATGAGATGGCCTCAACCACATAGCTCCCACAGCGTTCTTCTCCCATGTGCCTCAGAGATAAAACAGTGACAATAAGGACAGTCACACAGAGCTGCAGCCTAGTCAAAATGACCTCAGATAGGATGGTGAGGACTCTGATTGCTGGCACAGCTCGTTTCTATCAGCACTGTGTCCTTTCTCCCTCTGCTTTCCAGAGAGAGGAGATTGTGTAGGTGAAAACGTCTCCTTCCTTTAGAAATCAAGGCTGGGAGGAGGGAAGTGTTACTGAGCTGACCTCCCGGAAGGAAGCTTGCTTGGGTAGGTTCCCTGAGGGCTTGCAGGCAAAATCATGGAGTGGCTGCAGGTCTAACTTGAATCTGAATTCTCAAGAAAACAGGATTGCGGGGGAGATGGCTCAGTAGAATAAGTGCTTGTCTGTCAAGCACAAGGGCCTGAGTTCAATCTCTGGCTCTGCCAAAAAAAGAGAACAGGATGAAAGCACCACATCCAGGTAAGTAGTCCTCACACTATGTAAAAGTCAGCATTTGCATTTTCTGGCACCTTATTCCAGGAAGGTTGTGTTAGTTGATACATTGTGTCAACTTGGCTGAATCAGCTCCGGCAGTGTGGGGGCCTCGCCCCTCAGGTGGGCAGGGCCCAGTAATTGAGAAAGGCTTCCTGCCCCCTGCCTGGTTTCCTGCTTCCGAAGAGAAGTCTCAGTCTTTGGAGGAGCTTGATCTTGGCAGCCGCCGCCACTTCGGAGCTCCGATCTTCACTGTGTAGTGCTGGTTTTCGCAGTCCATGCAGAAGGAAGAGAGAGGCTTGCTGGACGCCGCTGCAGCTGCTGCTCCTCCTCTGCTCTTCATTGTTCTCTGCCGCATGAACTGTTGTCGTTTGCCTTGGAGCCAGCGGAATATGGACTGAACTTTCACTCCAGTAACTGTAAGCTAAATAAACCTTTCCCTCCTTCATTTTGAGTGTCGGGTATTTGTCCCAGCAACGAGTAAAAAGTAACTAAGACAAAGGTTTAGTACATTTATCTTTATATAAATAACTTAATAGGCAATGTCATTGTTACTTTGCAAAAGATCTAGGCATATCTTTAAATTGATTATTTTACTTAGATCTTTATTTATTTATTTATTTAATTTTTAGACAGTGTCTCACTAAGTCAGTTCAAGTCAGTTCAAGCTGACTTGAATCCACTATGTAGCCCACACTGGCCTCAAACTCACTCTGTTCTCCTGCCCCAGCCTTCTGAGTGCTAGGACTATAGGTGTGTGCCATCACACCTGGCCTCAAATGTAACCAGCCCAATACATCATGTTTACTTAATTTAAAGAAGTCATTTATCAAGAAGTGAGTGGCAAACATAGGAACTAATACTAGGGCACCAGCTTTGAAAAAAAAGCCTAGTGTACATTGGCCTAATGAAGAGACAGAAAGCATGGCTGAAATCTGTCCGCCAGCCCAGGGCAAGGGGCCACACCAGTTGCCGACCAGGGGAGGACTTATGGATGCTCTGCAATGGGACAGTGTCCAGGCACCGTCTGTTTCTGGCTGGGTGTTGACCGCACCTCACTTCTGCTGGAGGTCTGGGAGATATCTTGACCCTTCTTCAGGTTCCTCCCACGCAGAGCAGACCTTTGGTCCAACACAACTCACTTTATGCCAGGTTTTAAGGTTCTGCCCTTCATCCTGAAAAACAATGTTATCAGTTCCCAGAAGCTGGAAAATTGCTGTTTTATGGCCCATTTTCATATGATCCGAGTATATTTTTCTAATAATTTGGAACTAGAAAGGATTGGGGGCAACTAATACTTAGGGTATCCAGTAACTATATTTTTCCTATCAGATGCCTTAAGCGTTTTGGTACTCAGTGCTAGAACAGGGTAAAGTACTGGTTAATTTTCTGACAATGAATTTTCTGAGGAATATATGAAGGACTAGCTTCAGGTATTATTCAGGCATGAGTATTACTTGGGTATTGAATATTCAGGTCACAAAATAGAGTTCTGTTCTTTTAAAATATCTTGGTCCATAGATAAAAACATGAGTGACTAATATGAAAACTTGGCAGTATTTTCTGATGAGAAAATATGGTAGTAGAATAGTGTCCCAAATCTTGCTCATTAACAGTTTTGAGTGCTAAATTTTTTAAAAAGGTTTTTTAAATTGTTTAAGAGGTCGTATGTGTAGGAGAATGAAAAGTAGAATATTTTTTTAATGGATAAAATTAATTTAATTCAATCCAGCTCTCCTCCTTCTAGGTAGCTTCCCAGAAGAATTTAAAACATCATGTTAGTGATACATGCAGATGCATGTTTATAGCGGCACAATTCCTGATAGCTAAATCTTAGCAGCAGCCCTTACGTCCATCCTTAAATGAATGGATAAAGAAAATGTGGCATTTATACACAGTGGAGTACTACTCTGTCATAAAGAAAGGTAAAGCTGTCATTTGTAAGAAAGTGGATGAATCTTGAGACCATAAGGTGAAGTGCAAGGAATCAGACACATGACTTAAGTATCACAGTTTCTCTTATAGGAGAACCCCAAAGTGTGAGCACATAAGAGCTCTATAACAGGAGCCAAGGGGACAGAAATTTGCTAAAGGGGGCCGATCAAATAGCCCAGTGGATTAAAGCGCCTGCAAGCAGGTGCCGGGCCCTGAAGTTTGAATCCCCAGGGTGCACTGAGAGGCCATGGAGACTGGGCGTGGTGGCCCACGCCTGTAATCCCAGCACTTGGGAGGCTGTGAACAGGAGAATCACTACGAATCTAATCAAGTAGTGAGGCCCTGAAGACCTTGTAGACCCTTCCCTAAAAAAAAAAAAAAAAATTTGCTAATGGGAGAAGGACCGAGATGGAGGAGGGACGAGGGAGGAAAGAAGGAGAGGAAAGGAATGACGGCGCGTTACACGTGTGCCAGCTCCCCACAGCAAATGTCATTACCTACTGCGAGCAGCCGCTAATAAAAAGAAGAGTCCTGAGCAGCTAGTGTTTAGATGAATAATTTGGTGAGGGGGAAATTGCTCAGCAGGAGGAATAACAGTTGTGGCAAGGGGTGTTCTCCTAAAGCGCTTAAGTAATTGCTGAGGGATTTTCAAAGGGAAGAGTTACTGGAACTCTTAGCCAAATTCTGGAACATTACAAACCTCATCCCAAGATTATAGATTCTTTTTTCCTCTTACCATTTCTTTTAAGAAGGAAACACATGTAGGCTCCAAATAGCCCACTTTTGTTATTGGCAGAGCCTTTGACATTCCATGTTCAGTGAAAAATCTAAATTGCTTGCTTATAAGATTATAGGAAGATTGCCCCTCAAGTAGAAAGTTTATGTGGAACATCCTCTCAAGGGATTTTGTAGTTTCCCCTAGGTTTCTTTTGTTTGTTTGTGTATCACGTAAAGGGTGTGTCAGTGTAGGGCAGGCAAGATTTCACACTCTTAGAGCCTTGTTTGCACCTGAGAATCAGACTTGAAAACAAAAGTAGCAGCAGTCACTGCACTTCCATGAGAACTGGTCGGTTAGTTTCTAGCTGTTTCTCAATTATTATAGTCATCAAAGAAAGGTTAATTATTAAACTACCCAAACCTTGGCTCCTTGATATGAACATGCAGCACTTATTTCATATAGAAACAATCTTCCAGAAATATTGGATGTAATAAATTAATTAGACCACCTTCAGCTTATCCCTAGGAAAATCCCCAGCCAATTCAGAATCAATTTTCCTCATTCTCACTTACTTTGGCTGAATTACTGGCCAAGTATTTAATACAAATCCTGACTTTACAGTCTACTTTTATTAAACGCAAGAATGATACACGGATGATCCTAAATCCATTATAAAGTGAAAATATCCTTAAGTCAAAAATGTGCTTAACACACCTAATCTGTGAAATATCAGACCTTAACAACATAGTACACTGTGGAACACTGGTTGTTTACCTGCAGGGTACTGTGGCTTTAAGTTGTGTTACAACATATCTAGCATTGTGAAAGAGTCTCAGATTGTACACTGTTAGCTCAGGGAAAGACGTAAACTGTGTATCACTTGTATATCATGAAGTTGAAAATTTTAGACCAAGCTATCATATGTTGGAAACCGTGTGTGTGTGTGTGTGTGTGTGTGTGTGTG